CGTGACTCCCAGCCCAACCCCTGGAAATGAGAATCGGTCCCCTCACTAATATTTGGGAGTGAACTTACCTTTTGAGAACTAGAGCAGAAGCCGATAGAGATGTAGCTTTTACATTGCAACCTTGGAGTAGAGGATTTAAATCAAAGTGGACTTGGCAAACATAGGGGTCAGTTTAGCTAGGCGAATGATCTATTAATAGCTATTCAATTAGGCTAAAGAAAAGTAGTCGCAGAGCAATCTGATAGTAATACGACCGCGGCATGAGAGTTAAGTCTCCTAAATAGTATGAATGGACGGGGAATTTACTTAGCTTCCCGGAGATGACTTTCTGGTTTGATTTGACCCCTAATAGACGAAATAAATTCCCCTGATAGCTAGAAGGTCGCGATTAGAATAGAGTACAGATAGAAATTTTAGATGCTTGAAATTAATTAGCTACCCATGAAAAGAGTCTCCCCCTACCCTTGGGAGGTCGGAACGTTAATGGGATAAATAAAATGAAAAATCTTGGGAGGATTACTGAGTAAACAAAGCATGGTTTGGAGGTTGAGTTGAACTCGAGAGCTGAAGTTCACATAGTTCAGGAATTGGTTGGTTAGAATCGTATGACATTTGTTTGCTTGGTCAAATTTTGACAGCTACCGCATACCGGGTATCTAATAAATGTGAAAAGATTGATAAAAGAAACCGAAGTTGGCAGGTGGCAGAGTTGACAGGAGGAGTGATATAGCCTTAAATCATGTGCAAACGGGCGATTTAAGCGGATATGAGGACTGATAGGGAATGGCGTGATTTAACTAAAACTAAGTGCAAAAAAAGATAAGGAATTGGAGGGTACCGGAGAGCCTTTAAGAGTCAGAACAGTGTGAGCTACCATTAAGAGTAGTTGGTTCTCGTCAGAGAAGAGAACAGTGTTAGCTACTATTAAGAGTAGTTGGTTCTCAATCAGAGTAGAGAACAATCATTGCTAGCGAGCGAGTTCATTGGAACCCGAGTTTAGTACCGGGTTGAACTAGTTGTGTGAGTGAGTTGCTCTATTAGAGTAGGCGAGTTTTGAATCGATTCAACCGAAAACTGACGAGCGATTGAACGGAACGGGACGCGGGCTTCAATATAGAAGTTGTGTAAATAGTAGTTAGCTCATTAAGGGCACTGTAAGTTGCTTTATTTCCGTTAATATTGACAATTTACTTATTGTGCCCACATTTTGCTGGACTAGCTAAAAACGCGAGAAGAGCCTAAATTAAGGGGGAGCTGCGTAACCCTTTGATCAGCCGATTTAGTCTGACCATCAACATAACCCTTTCGGGATTGTGGATCAAATCGTGTCCTAGTGTCTCCCGCTATTACACGGTATAGAGGGGAGAAACTCTGCGGCAGTTAAGTAGAGTGAAAGCGCGCTTAGAGGAAAAGAGGAAATACCAGGCCTATTTAAAATTGACACTCGTGTCCCAAATTAAAACAATAACTCAAACTCAAAAAATCACAAAAAAAGAAAACAAGACTGCTCCTACCAAGGCGGAGCCCTGACTGTTTCTACTGTCTTTTAAAGTCTATGGAGGAGTAATAACAGGAAAAAATTAAAAAATGTAACAAAACAAAACAATTTTTTTTTAATTGAGATTTTTTTTTATGTAAAATCATCCGCCACCAGCCTCATAAAGCAGAAATTTATAGATTCTGCTCATAGTAACAAATCAATAATGGCAAATACGCTTCCTTTAACCAAATTGGAACGTTTTCTAAGACGGATTAAATCTCTTTTTACGCGTTAATAGCGCAAAATATATCGCGCGTTTAATTTCCAAATTGGACATATTGAAAATATTTAAGCCCCAACAATTTTACGAATAAAGATCGCAGGTCAAAAATCTTTTCAAATTTCAGCACAGGACGACAAAACTTTTTTCATAATAGAAAATTCCGTCAAAAATGGTTAGTTAAAAAAGCAAAGTTTGTCTGAAAAAAAAACACCCCGAGCTCAAGTATTCCGTTATTTTTGTTACGAAAGTCGGAACTACAAAAAAAATGTTGATATAATCTAGCCAATCGAAATGCAGGAAAGTTTTTTTAAACAACGTTGGCACAAATTGGTAAAAAAACACCGGTAAATTGGACAACAGCAAAAAATTATTGAAATGAGGCCTGCTTAAGTTGAATCATCTAAAAAGAGAGGGGAGCAAAATTACTTATTGATGTTTTAAAACTCAAACAAGACTGCTCGTATCAGGGCGAAACCCTAATGTTCCGACTCCCTTTTAAGGTTTCTGGAGGAGTAATAACATAAAAAATTGAATGTAATAAAACAAAATGAAAGTTTTTTTGAAATTTGAAGTTTTTTCTAAAAATTATCCCCCCACGCGCCATATAAAGTACAAACGAATAGATTTTGCTGCTAGTAACAATCAATAATGGCAAATAAGCTTCTTTCGACCATTTAGGAACGATTTCTATGACCAGATTAAATCTCCGCTTACGGGTTAATAGCGCCAAAAATGCCAATCTTTTAACTATTATGACTTTACGAAAATTCATCACAGGTCAGGGCAACATTACCTTTTGAATGATAACAGATAGTTGCGTCGAAAATGGCTAGTTAAAAAGTCGAAATTTGTCTGAAGAAAAAAATCTAACCACGAGCACAAACATTCCGTTACGTTCCTTACGAAAGTCGGAACAACAAACATCAAAGAGCAAAGTTTCTATACGTTGTTTTTGTTGCGAAAAAGATTGTAAAATTTCGATCAATTACAGATAACAACAAAATTAACTGAACTATTATTGTACCGCACACAACCACCACTCAAACTTAGAGTTGTTAGCAGAAAAAGATTCAAAGCACAATTTTGGTGGTTGAAAACAAAACTTTTCAAAAATTGATAAAACTTAATAATCGGGTTGTCACGATTTGGATAGAAAAACTTCTATTGCCAGAATTCTCAGAAATCGCCATTCTGTTGATTGATACAGTCGTCTATTACTGTCCCTTATTCCGCCAAATATTAGCTCGTGTTTTTGCCAGTTTGGTAAAAAGCAACAGGAAGCGAAAACTTTTTGCATGATCTCGACATTTCAGCTGGAGATTCAGGGATTTTCATCCATATTTTTTTTCGAATTTTCGAAAACCGGACGCACTGTTATGTGATGGCACTTTTTTTCACGGTCTCTCGTCCTTATGAGCAAAGTTATACAATTTTTTTTAGCTCTGGACGAACAAAAAATCCTATTTGCTTGGCATTTTTGAGCGGAAGAACCAAAATTTATTACTTCTATCTATTAACTGTTCTGCACGCAAGAACTCGTGCAAGTTCTATTGAACTATTAAAGCCAAAAAAAATCCAATTAGGGAACGATTCCTCGAACTGTAAGGTTTTTTTGAGATGTAGAAAAAGTACGGTTCTTCATTTGGATAATAGTTCATAGTTCACCGTCTAGTAATTAAAAAAAAAACTGCAAAAAAATTCTTCTGCAAAAAACTCGGCGGGGAGAGAAGCCCTACTCAAAAACTCAAACGATTTCGATTGAGCGTCAGAAATTGTCGGCTCAATCATCTCAATTGCACAAAATTGACAACGGGCACAAAATTCAAGAAATATAGGTTCACAAACAATGGTCCAGCGTTGGCCACAGCTTGTGAGAAAAAGTTTAAAAAAACTAAAAACAGTTATTTTATGCAGGGGTGGATTTAGGGGGAGTGGGCGGGAGGCGTACGCCCCCTTTCAGGGGTTCGACCCCCTGCCGACCCAAAGAGTCCCCCCTTGGTACTTTTTTGAGAATTCCTATTTTGGCCGACCGACCCTAAAGTTTTTCTAATGGCGCCTGCGGCGCCAATATATATTAAATTTGAGGGGGAGCGCGCGCCAAAAAAAACGCGTCAAAATTTCCAAAAAGTGCCCAAAAATGGCTTTTTTGACCTGTTTTTTCAAAAATTTGCCTGCGGCGCAGAAAATTTGGCGGAAAAATTTTCTTTTTAGAGCTTCTCCTTTTAGTGTTTTAGGAGAGCTCGGAAACTCAATTTGCCCAACCCAAGAAAAAAAGGTCGTCAACATATTCAAAATTTTTTTAAAAATTCGCCCCCTTCGGGAAAATTTTTGATCCGCCCCTGATTTTATGTTTCTTAATATCACTTTTTTACTTGCAACTATTAATCTGATGCTTTGATCAAAATTATGTTTTTTTTTTTCAAATTTTGTGCTGCGCTCCGATTGGCTCACGCGTTATAGTTTTCCTTTTTAACTACTCAATTTTTTTTCCTGCCCATGCTAATCGACACTCACACTAATCGCTACCGCATAAATTCTCCTAACTTACCGCGACTTTCATTAATTTGCCAAAAACAATCACAGTGCATATAAAAAATCCGATAACTTCTGAAAAGCTAAAAAATAATTACGAAAGTTTTTTTTTGCTTTCGAGGTGGTTACTTCTTTTTTTCTGGGTGCTTTTACTCTCTAGGCATCATTCAACGAAATAGGAATCATTCAAAAAAACGTCTTTTTGAAGCTTCTCCTTTTAGTGCTTTAGGAGAGCTCGGAAACTCAATTTGGCCAACCTAAGAAAAAAAAGGTCGTCAACATATTCAAAATTTTTTTAAAAATCCGCCCCCTACGGGAAAATCCTAGATCCGCCCCTGATTTTATGTTTTTCAATATCACTTTTTTAGTTCTAACTATTAATCTGATGCTTTGATCAAAATTATGTTTTTTTTTTCAAGTTTTGTGCTGCGCTCCGTTGGCTCACGCGTCTTAGTTTTCCTTCCTAACTTACCGCGACCCTAACTTACCGCGACTTCAATTAATTTGCCACAAACAATCACAGTGCATATAAGAAATCCGATAACTTCTGAAAAGCTAAAAAATAATTACGAAACTTTTTTTTGCTTTCGAGGTACTTGAGCTGAATCGTTGACGGGGACGATAACGCATCCGGCCCTAGTATCAAAAATTAAAGCTTCGAATGGCTTCTTATTTTGCCCTTATTACTCGGTTTGATATATTTAGACGGGACTGCTGGAATTCAAGTACTTGGACGGACGGGGTGCAGAAGCACTGAGACGGAGCAACACTGTTGAAGACATGAGCTTGTTCGAGGTCGGTTGAACTTTTACAGCGTTAGATCGAAAATAACTCTCAATTAATGTAAGACCCTGATATACCAATGTCTAGATCAGCAAGGTCAGACCTTAGTTGTCTCGCTTTACATAAGCGACATACTTTCTTCAGTGACCATTTTTTTGTAAACTTTCAAAATTCTGTAGACACACTTATATAACGTAGCAAGTTTAGGGGTGAGCGGACGCGCTCCCCCTCAGGAATTCGACCCCCTGCCGACCCAAAGGGTCCCCCTTTGTCCACTTTTGGCTGAGTGACCTTAATTTTGTTCCTAAGGCGTCTTCGGTGCCAATTTATACTAGTTTTGAGGGGGAGCGCAATTTTTCGGTCGAAATTTTCCAAAACGCTTTTTAATTGGCTTTTGTACGAAAATTTGTCAAGAAATTTCTAGATCCGCGCCTGCTTTTATTTTCACAAGTTTCTGCGCTGCTGGCAAAGTTTTATGAAAAACAAGGATAGCCGGTTACTAAGCAAGTAGCACAGAATGCTCCGACCAGTCTTGAAAAAAAAAACGTTTTTTTAAATTAGTGTCGTTTTTTCTGCATGTTGTAATAAAAAGATGTGAACAAAAAAATTGAATCTAGGCATATTTGAATCATAGTGAATAGAATAAATGGAAAACAGTTTTGGAAGAAAAAGGAGTAGAAAAACGAAAAAAACGTTCAAAAAATTCAAAACTTTTTTTCAAACTTTTTTGCGGAATTTTTTTAATTTTCAAGTTTTTGATTCCATAAATTGCTTCGAAAAAACTTAAAAAAAAAACAACTATTGCCTGAGTAAAACTAAATTTTCACGGTTTAAACTTATCTTTCATTACGAGGCCAAACTGAGCATTTTGTGAATTGTAAGCGAATTCCGCAGCAAGGACGCTCCCTTTGTTCTTCTTTTGTTTTTTTTTTCATTTTCTTTGATCGTTCCGATTCATTTTCTTTATCCTTATTCCAATTTCAAACGACCAAAACAGTCAGATAACGATGAAGCTTTTGATGTATTCTAAGAGGAAAAAACAAACATCCATCTAAAATGAAAACAGTATAAAAATATCGGGATTGTTTTTGGTGCCAAGAGGAAACGGTACCATTGATTATGAAAATCCTCTAGGTTCATAATTAATTTACATTCTGTATATTAACGCGAAACAACTCAGGCAATTTAAAATGAACTTATGTTAGAATCAGTGCAAGTCAGAACGCACTAATTTGCTAACAATCAAGATGCTAGCTAGCTTTACAAATTACAAGAGCAGAAGGATAAATAGTCAGTGGAAAAAAAGTTTCTTTTTACCGGCGAATCAGGCAGTTAGTTATATCATTGCTCAGAGACAGTTTCAGCCATAATAGTCCTGGAAATAAGTTTTAATTAGATACTAATCTATTACCTTGGACGAGCATTTGCCAACTGCGTTAAATCGCTGGTGGCTATTAATCATCTATTTTTAGTCAATGCGGGCCTCTAATTCGTTCAATAATTCGTTACTGTTTGCTCCTTCACAAATGGACAATAAACCAAAATTTCGTTATACGATATACGTTCTGTGACATTCGGGCATGTAAGCCCCGAACCAATGAAAGCGTTTTAAGACAACATTATGCGTAACACCCCATCAACATCAGTTCGCAGGAAAAAAATTTTGTGCTTTTTTTAAATAGGCGCACAGATGTTTCAAACTCCGAGGTTACTAAATAATAGAAATGATGTGGATTCTGTGCTATCAACAGGTTTGTTGTTGCTTTTTTCTTAGAAAAAAAATGAAAATGAATTTTCTCTTTATTTTTTGTTTATTTGAATTATAGTGACTTGTTAAAAAGCGTTGGAAAATACTCAATTACTAAATCGCTCTTCGTGTTTTTGGGAAAATTGTGTCAGGCATAACTTACAATTTTTCCTATCTGTTAATAGTTCAGTTTCTTTTCAAATGAAACAAACGAATTTCGACCAACGAGATCGGAGCAAAAAAATTTAACTCGAGTCCAACAAGCGCCCGGTAGTATATGCCAAATTTTTAAACTATGAATACATGTGGTCGCCCAATCCCGCAACACCCTACTCCAACAGTGACAAGAATTGATTCGGAAATGTACCAAAATCCAGCTGATCAAACCATACCATCAACAAAAAAAAACAATTACGAACGAAAAAGACAAAGAACTACTTGAAAGAAGACGTATCGAAATCATAGCACAATAACTCCATTTCAAAAATTTTTTGGGGTTTTATAAGAAAAGAAGCCCAATAACTTTATTGTTGTTGGCTAAATTATAGTTGACACTTATTTGCGACAATTCTTCCTTTTAATTCAATTCCCTTTTTCAACAAACATTTCAATCACAAACAATAACCGCAAACTAAAGAGCAAACACTTGAATAGGCCTAACAATTGCATTGTGTTGCTATTTAACCTGAAATGGAAAATATAGGCGAAATAATAATTGAACCAACGAATAAAAAGTAAAAAATATTTAAGTTTTTTCTTCTTATTTCAAATGCAGGAATCAGCCATTATAAAGCTTAATTCTGAAGAAGTCCATTTCTGCATTTGAAACCAAATTCAATAGTCAACTGATATTTTGACACAACTATTTTCACGCTAACATGATTCAAATATATATATTTTTCCCACTGCTGTTTTTTTACCAAATTTTTCGTTTTTTTGTTCTTTATCGAGATGCTTGGGACGATGAATCAAAAACCGTTATTCTCTTTTATCCTCGTGGGAATCTCCCCGAAGATATCAAAAGTTTTTCTTCTCAACATCTCTTAAATTATTCGACTGTATTCCGAAAATTCTTTGTTCATTTATTTGAATAAAAATACTTGCATATAAAATAAATTTAAAACAAAAAAACACATACGCAGAGCCTAGAAATTATGCAAATTTCAAGGAAAGAAGTCACTTTCGTGTTTTGATACACTGCGTCACCTTTTTTTCCGAATCTCCCCATATTTGTATTTGAATCCGCAACATTGCTACTTTTTTTGATCTTCTCTGCTGTTTTAGATTCCACGGACAATTAGCTAAAACTTTGTGTTGCTCAAAAAGGCTCCAAAAACAAGCAATTTTGCTGAATCTGCAACAAAATGTGTAAATTCCGGAACCAGTTTGTTGAATCCATAAACAATTACTGATATATGTCTTCAGCAAACTTAAGCTGTCGCGGAATCCGCAACTGGAAGTGGAATGCGCAAACTGTAAGCAGTTTCCGTAAATTGTAATCGGAATCCGCAAATTTTAAGTGGAATCCGCAAATTGCAAGTGGAGTACGCAAAAACTTGCGGAGTCCCGTTTCATTCGCGGAATCCACTTACGTTTGCGGAATCCGGAACAACTGCCTATATTTGCTCGTTGCGGAATCCGCTACAAAATCAATGTGCCGACAAACTTTCCGGTACAGATATTTGTACCGGGAATCCACTGAAACTTTGTTAGTGGAATCCACTTACATCTTGGAACATGTTTAAAGACTTGCCTCTGGAATCCAGGAACATACAAACACAAAGTTCCAGTGCACAGTTTGGCCTCGTAAAGCTAAGATCAAAAAGATCCTTTGCGAAGATCCCTTGTCCAATCTAACGACAATTTATTCAATTACTAAAACAAACAAGGTGGGTAAAATATGCAATTAGCGATTTCCTTCGAAAGTTCAATGAAAGTTTGAGCGTACAAAAAAAAATTTGCTTACATTTTTGTCACATATTTTAGAATAGCAAAAAAGGTGCCCTATTGTTACAAATGGTCAATTTTAATAACTCACGGACCTAAAAACCCATATGGAAACAAAATTGCTGATTTTGGCTGAGGCAAAAGTTTTGAATGTTGTTTGATAATGCATGAGGGCTGGACTTCAACTTACTAATTGACACAGATGACCACCAAGCGCGCACCATGGGAAAAATATTCATCTTGACCAAACAAAACTTGACACAATTTGGCATCGTTACGCTCCTGGTTTCCAAATCGAACAAGAGTTCTCTGCCCGGAAAAATCTAAAATTATTATCATTAATACGATTTTTAAAAGAATACGACGGCATCAGTTACATAAACCATACATCGGATATTTAGATGAAATTTTTTCTCATACAAATTTCATGGCCTGGGTTGACGTCCATAAAAGAAAAAAACTTATCATACAATTTCATTTATTTACTCTGGGTTTTTTATCACAAAAAGTCCAGGATATTTTCATTTGTGGACAAAACGCTTTTCATAGAACTTCATAGTAATAAAAAAATGTCTATCATAATGTTTCATACTATGAAAGATGCTTATCATGCTATTTTTATAGAACTTTTTTTGGGCAATGAAATAGTATGATAAGCACTTTTTTCATAATATGAAACAGTATGATAAGCATTTTTGTCAACCCGGAGGATTACCTCATTTTTATTTTCTTTTACAATTACTGATTCCTAAAACCAATTAATAAAAAACTGAATTATCTGAAGGACATCTTACCTTCAAAAATCTTAGTTTAAAAAGAAGTTTAGAAACGAACCTCAACAACCTCCCCACTTCATCTGAAAAGATTGCCATTGAGTAAAAACTATTGTTTTTCAATATCCTCTGCCTTATTTGTCAGGTCGCTCATTATTCACAATTTTTCCCCATTATTCCCCTGCAGCTTATTTAACAAAATGGCAAGAGTAGAGTGGGAAACACCATGATTCGCTGCAACACAAGCTACCACCATCTGTTGGATCGCAGCTCATGCATCATTTCTACAATAAGTGCCTCCCTTTTTCAACAACAACAACAAAAAATTCCTATAGTTCCAAACCTTCACGACCCAGTACATTTTATTTTCTAAAACAGATCTGAAATAACTTTTTTCAGATCTAAATTTCAGATCTAAAATAGGTTGTGAAATGTTTAAATGAGGCTTGGATACTTAAAGTATCGGTAATTTCAGATCTGAAATTTTGTTTTTTTTTGTAATTTCAGATCTGAAAAATCTATTTCAGATCTAAATGTTGACACAG